GGTTCTACGGGCCCCAACGTCGAACGAGACTTACGCTCGTGTCTCTGGCGATTACAACCCCATTCATGTCTCTCGTGTCTTTTCCAGCTATGCCAACTTGCCGGGTACTATTACCCATGGCATGTATACCAGTGCTGCTGTGCGCAGCTATGTCGAAACTTGGGCGGCTGAAAATAACATTGGGCGTGTGCGCGGTTTCCATGTGTCGCTCGTCGGTATGGTCTTGCCCAATGACATGATTACGGTTAAACTACAACATGTCGGTATGATTGCTGGTCGTAAAATCATCAAGGTTGAGGCTAGCAACAAAGAAACCGAGGACAAGGTCCTACTGGGCGAAGCCGAGGTCGAGCAGCCTGTCACTTCCTATGTGTTTACGGGACAAGGCTCGCAAGAGCAAGGCATGGGAATGGAGCTTTATGGCAGCAGCCCCGTTGCTCGTGAAGTTTGGGATCGAGCTGATCGGCACTTTATCGAGAACTACGGGCTTTCGATAATTGACATTGTCAAGAACAACCCCAAGGAGCTCACTGTCTATTTTGGTGGCCCACGTGGAAAGGCTATCCGTCAGAACTACATGTCCATGACTTTCGAGTCTGTGAACGCGGATGGCACAATCAAATCCGAGAAGATTTTCAAGGAAGTCGATGAGACCACATCCTCTTACACCTACCGGTCACCGTCAGGACTGCTTTCTGCAACCCAATTCACGCAGCCAGCTCTTACTTTGATGGAGAAGGCAAGCTTCGAAGATATGCGCTCCAAAGGCCTCGTCCAGAGAGACAGCAGTTTTGCGGGCCACTCACTCGGTGAATATTCGGCCCTTGCTGCGCTGGCCGATGTCATGCCAATTGAGAGCTTGGTTTCCGTCGTTTTCTACCGAGGCTTGACTATGCAAGTCGCTGTGGAGCGAGATGAGCAGGGTCGCTCGAACTATTCCATGTGCGCTGTCAATCCAAGCCGCATTTCCAAGACTTTCAACGAGCAGGCTTTGCAGTATGTGGTCGAAAACATCTCCGAGCAAACAGGCTGGCTCTTGGAAATTGTCAACTACAACGTGGCTAACATGCAATATGTTGCCGCTGGTGATGTAAGTCCAGTCCCCGTCCCCGATGGCGTAAGAATCTTCCACTGACTCTCACAGTTACGAGCACTTGACTGCCTGACGAATCTGCTTAACTACTTGAAGGCCCAAAACATCGACATCCCCGCTCTTATGCAGAGCATGTCGTTAGAAGATGTCAAGGCCCATCTTGTCAGTATCATTCACGAATGTGTGAAGCAGACGGAGTCGAAGCCCACCCCTATCTCTCTTGAGCGAGGCTTTGCAACAATCCCTCTCAAGGGAATTGATGTTCCCTTCCACAGCACTTTCCTCCGCTCCGGTGTGAAGCCTTTCCGGTCATTCCTACTGAAGAAGATCAACCGGACTACTATCGACCCCAGCAAGCTGATTGGCAAGTACATTCCGAATGTCACGGCTCGCCCATTCGAAATCACCAAGGAATACTTCGAAGATGTCTACAGGCTTACGAACTCCCCTCGTATTGCCCATATTTTGGCAAACTGGGAGAAGTTTGAGTAAAGGAAATGGCAACGTCCGAGGTTTTCCAGGGATATCTCATGTTATTTTGTTTGTCTTTCTGTGCTTATCCATGTTGAGTATAAAATGCTTTGTCTTAGCGCTAGGTGTTGAGAAGTGTTTTCGCATTTCAATTCCACTGTTCAATTTACATTAAATTTTCTCCAGACCTAAGGTCACTCTATCCCAACGGTTTGGGTGCGCGAACGCTGAAACAACGCCTTCTAGTCATCTCAATGTTGAGCGACATTTACATAAATTCGCCCTCATTCCCCACTGTCTTTCAAAGCACCTGGCCGTAAAAGACGATCCTCTTTTCCGTAAACACCGACGTCTTTCACAATTGCTATGAATCTCCGGTGATTTTCCTTAGAATCTCCAATGCGAGGGCGGAATATCTTCAGTAGGTCGCTGCTTAGAATGCCAGTCTGAGGAATAGCGGCATGGATCTCTGCAGGTGTAGGAAAGCTTTGGTTGCTAGAAACCCCGGGGGTGGACACAAGGGTTTGGCCTACATGCGTTAGTTAGAGGACGGAACCAATAGATTCTTCATGATGGCCTGCAAATACCTTTCAATGGTTCTGGACTACTAGCCCGACTTCCCGAAAAACTTCGGTTGGCCAGAGGTGTCGGGCTGGCAGCTCGTGACCCCTGCGGTGTTCCACCACGAGAAGCCAGAGAAGGAGGATTAAGCTTAAGCTTTTTAGTCTTACCACTCTCACTCATCTCACCACCCGAACCTGCACCAGGATCCACATCGCTAGTAGATCCAGCACCTGGTCCGTTCCGAACGCGCTTCTTGCTAATCTGAAGAACATCAGTTGCTAGGTGTAACAGGCTGTGATATTAATACTTACAGAGGCAGCAGACGCCATTGGCGACATAGGGCGAGAACTAGGCTGAGGCGTAGGCTGAGACGAGGCATGCTTGCTCTTGCCCTTCTTGCGGGACGTGTCCGTCCCACTCGCGTCAGAAACATTGGGTGACCCGAGTCGTCTTCGTGTTGCAGTAGCCGAGCCTTTTTTGAGGGGATCAGCATGTTTGGGACGACCTGAAGGGGTGTTTCCACCCTTTGAAGACGTCGCTGTATCTTTTTTATTCTTCTCTTCCTCGGCTTTTCGCTCTTCTTCTTTAAGCCGCTCGGCCTCGCTCTCATCGGAGCTCTATAAAAGATACATCAGCAGGAGATCAATCGAAGGATGGAGGTGCAAAAACTAGGGAGAAAAGATGAAAGCGAAGAACTTACCTCTTCGTCGGAGTAGGGGTTAACGTCAGACCCACTGCTGTAGTCGTAATTCTTCTCTCTCTTCTGGAGAGCTTTCCTCACTTTCTTCCCCTGAACCCGACGAGCTTCTTTTTCCTTTCTCTCTCGCAACTCCTCTTCCTCGTATTCCTTTTCTTCTTTCAGATCGAACACGTTCGCCTTCAGCTGATCTTGCTTGATCCTTTTTTCGGCAGCCTTCGCATCCTCGTCCTCATTGAATAAATCATCGTGCTCCTCGTCATCAGCGAATCTGTCTTCTTCGAAATCCATCTCGCCAGCTTCTAAGCCTTCAGCACCACCTGGTACGCCTTGTTTGCCAGCGTATACTTTCCGCTGCTTCGCGTACTGATCCAATTCCTTTCGTTGGGCAAGCTCCTGCTGCTTCTCCATGAACCATCTCGGATCTTTAACCTTCTTTGCCATGAATTTCTCCGCCTCTTCTATCGTAAGAGCCTTGAATTGGTTTTTGGCATTGAACCTATACCACTTCTCAATAGGTATCATTCTCATTTTGCCCGTGTTTTCAAGCACAAATATTGCGTGGGTTTCTGATAAGGCGGCTTCATAGTTTCCAACCCAAACGTTCTTGTTGTCGAAATCCTCCAAGTGCCAGGGCAACGCTTCTTCGTACTTGATTCGTGTTCTGGCTATCTCGTCAGGCGTCATGTCTGTTTTTGAGACCTGCTGTGTTTTCTGTTTGGGGGCATTCGCTCTCTTCGCTGTAGATCCAACAGAGGGCGCTATCTGAGCCAGATTTTCCGCACGCTCTTTCTCCCGTGCTGCCTTCCTAGCCTCCAGCTCCTCGCGTTCGGCATCATCCACTTGGTTGCCAAATTCAGCCGGGGATTTCTGGTTGCCTTTATCCGCGCCTACCGCATGTGACTTCGCACGTGGATCACGGCGCTGAAGCCGAACTGGTCGCGTGAACTGGGTTTCGTCGCGGGGATCAACGGTTTTCTTCGACGCAAACCGGGCAATGTGATGCTTTAAGCCCTCTCGTAGCTCGCGCTTGGTGGTGACAAGGGGGTAGTCCACGTAAGTCTCAGATAACAGAGGGCCGCTGAATCCGTTTGCTGAGAAATTACTCGAGGGCGACTGAAGTTTCCCTTTGTCGGTCTGATGGGCGGGTGCGGGAATGGATCCAGCTGCTCGCACTGGGAATGGTTTCGAGGCTGCACCATTCCCCGATGATGCCAAACCAGGCGGTTTGACGGCTGTAGGCTTCTTCCTTGGCCGCACTAAAGGATCTGCCACCCTTGGGCGGCGGATTCTCATCGGCGGTGGCCCATTTAATCCGGTTGGTGTTCGTGAGTTTGTGTTGTTTGTAGGGGTAGTCATGGTAGAGCTGGGGTGGATTGCGCGCCCTGAGGGTACGCAAAAACTGCAGATGAAAGGCTCCTAATAAGGGCGGCTGGCCCTCAGGATCAGAGATTGATTGCGTGTAGAATCCGAGGCAGGTATCAGCTTGGCCTTTGAGGTGGTTCAGCAATCAAGTGCCGGGTGAGTTGGATGTGGTTCGACTCTCAAGACCGCGCCGGACCGCTTAGATAATCACGCCGTTGGTCAATGACGGCGTCCTTTCTTTCTTCCGAGTTGAAACAGCCTATGCTTGGGTCTCTTTCAAGCCATAGCGGGATCCATTCACTCATTATTGATCGTACTGACGTTCTCTATGGTCTCATGTCATATAGTGTCAAGGAATGTAGTTCTATATATCCAACCAGTGCTAGTCACAAGATCTTCATTGTCTAGAGCTCGTCCACCACTCACTTGATCTAGCATCAGACAGACTCTTCTCTATTACAAAGCCCCGTGGTCAGTGGCCTCTTTATGTTACTGGCTGACTGCCTATCAACAATCCTCATAATAGGGGCATCCAAATCCAGGCGGTTTACTAGGACATTATACGACCTTCTTACCGAGGCACATGAATATAAATCCCTACACCCACAGAGTATTGTGAATAGCTGGAAGTCAGTTGATTAAGAAAATCCAAGAGAACGCCAAGTTTACTCCACTACAACCGGATGCGCATTACATATGCTTTTTTTTATCATCGATGATGTACAATAATAACGGAGGGACCAAATGATGGGTACTCCAATGAAACGCTCTCTAATCCCCTACAGTCTCCTTCTGATGGATGGCATCCACTCAAAACAGCTCCACAACCTTCTCTTCCTCATCCTCTTGTCGCTGGCCATTTGTGTTGCCGCCGTTTTCCGGCAATGCATTTGTGCTTTCTTCACCCTCTTCCTCACGCATTATAACCTGGACCAGCCTGTCGCAGGCCTCTTGGACATCCTCGTTATCAACGTGGAGATGACACTCGCGGATGATTGGGTAGACCTTAATTGCCCTCATGATATCTCGCCCCTCTCGTGTGGTTGTGAGCAACAAGAGAGTTTCAAGATGGGTGACTATAATGCTGTGGTCACTGTCTCTCTTTTTGTCTGGTGGGAGCAATTGAAGGTCCGCTAGCATGTCCATTGACTCTTCCTCAGCAAACTCTTCTGGTCCAGCAATTGGCAACAGTATATAGGGTAAGATGTTAGCACCATCTTCGGAGAGGAGCACGGTATGGAAAGGGACGTCGAATGCGACGTTTTTGATAGTTGAGGCAACCCCCTTTCTCCGCACCGTGCTCTTGTGCTCTGTAAATACAGTCAGCTTCGTGACTGGCACAACGCCGTCGTAGTCCTGTCTAGTCGTAAAATACGCGCGGCCCTCTTCAGACTTGGATAGATCGGCAAATAGATATGATAGATAATCATAATTGGCATGTTTGTTGAGAGCACCTTCTGCGCCTTTCACAAAACAATCCATCAGTTGATCAATGGCAAAAGCTGAGCTAGACACAGACTCCGGGATTTTTCGCTTCAATGTAAGAAGCCGGCTTATTTTGCTGGACTTCGCAAGGTTGGCAATTAACATGGAGACATCATCTGCGTTTGGCTCCTTGGTATTCTGCTCCATGTCTATCAGTACAAATGTTGTTTCGGGGCATTGACTTCTTTCCTTCGTTCAAGACGGTTAAGGGAGGAGTAGCATTGGCCAAGGAGCACTTACGGTCAACTTGGCGAGAAGAGTGTCCACGAAGGGATCATCATTCGCAAGATTGGCCAATATCTCTTCGTCGGCTGAAAGATTTATAAGGATTGTCAAAGCATTTTTTGCGATTGGCTATGCGGCGGGAAGATATCAGTTATTACAGAAACCCACAGACTCCGTAGATTTTGAACTTACCGTGTAGTCTCGAACCAAGAGTTTCAAGTCACGCACTGGCAGAAGTTGATGGCGTTTAAATAGACCTGGCTCGGATTTCGAGAAACCGACAAGGTTTTCACATGCTTAGAAAAGAGATACATGATTATTATTTGATGTCTGTGCTGCGGTTTGGTGTTTGATCTTTCAAGTCCGGGGGGGGAGGGGTTTTCGGAAGGATGGGCGGTACCAATTTGCCTTATTTGGGTGTTTCCATGATGAAGGAATTCAACCAACTAAAGAGAGAGACAGAGAGGATATGAGCAAACGAGCGTCCGGTCTATTTCGGCGGACAGTGGTTTGGGAGTTGAGGCCATAACAATATGAAGGGCAAGGAAAGAGTATAATTTCAACTTACCTCCTCTAATTGCGTTGGCATTTTAGAAATGGTTAATAATAGACGGGGTAAACCAAGAAGCTATGAATGTTGCAGTTGTTCAGCTTGAAGGGGAAAGGAAAGGGGAACCAAAGAAAAAAAAAAGAAAGAAAACCATACCCCGCCGTGAGTGGTGGGGGGAAAGTCTTCTGATGTCACACGCAAGGATCCTTCCGCCGTGTCGCCAAGAGCGCGTGTCCACTTTATCTGAAGCTACACGGGAGTACCGGCCACAAGTCATGAACATTATCAATTCTATAGTATTAGTATTTACACATTCTAAAATGATGACAGTCACACGGGCAGAAATTTCCACCAGTATTTGAGCCTGCACAAAATCTGACGCCCATATATTGCCATTCATTTACTTATCAACTCCTGATAGAGATATAACCATAGTCGTTGGAATCATCTTCGAGGCCCGGGTTTTCCGACATAGTTGTAGAAGGATCTCTCGTGGTTGAATCGTGGGATGTGGGGGGAGCGCTTTCGAAATATTTATGTTGTTCATTCTCTGCGTGAATGATCTCTGTGTGTGCTGTATATTCAGGCTTAGGCTCAGCTAAAGCATCGGGCTGACCGCGACCATCGAGAGCGTTGTCACCAAGCAACCCTGCGGAGTGTTCAAGTTGAGTGGAGTTCCTAGTTTCGAGAATAGCTGGCTGCTCTTGCAAGTCCTCGCTCAGTTCACCGATTGCTACCGGAGACGGATCGGCCCTCTCCATGCCGCGCTTGACGTTGTCGTCAGACATGGAGCTACACCCGAAATGTGTATCAACAAGATGTTTCACTACTGGCCACCCATAGGCGTTCGTGAACATTCGCCTGACAATGATATTGTTATGTGCATCAGGCTCAAGTCGTACAAGTACTTTCCTCCAGGATAAGTTACGGTGGTATGCTCTCGCAATTTTCTCCTCGACTTTGAGCCCGCGCTCGGGTTCAGCCTCGTCATAATTGGGCTCGATTTGAGGGTCCTGCAATGAAGTTAATTGTGGTCCCGAGGATCTGCTTTGCGAGGAACCGAACGTCAAGGTGCGGCGCTTGGTAGGGAGAGGAGGTGGAATGTCTTCTGGATGATATATCCGATCATGAAAAATGGTCCGAGCTCTTGACTCGGGGTCAATGATGAATTCAACAGGAGGGAGAGGTGGCATGAGAAGATCACTGGCAGATTCAAAGAAAGTGGTTTTAGGGGGCGTATTAGACCCGTATCCTTCGGAAGGGCTCCCACGGGCAAGGCTCTCGCGATGGCAGAAACTAGACGATGATACTTCTTCAACAATATCACCAGGAGGAAGAGTTTGACTGCGTTTATAGATCTTTGTTTGTTTGTATCCCGTGGTGGCATTTGCTTTCCCTTTGGGCCGAAACATCGAGAGAATATTGCCAAGTGAGCTATGTGAGAAAAGCTGATTTGATTCGTTCTTTGGCAAAGCTTCCACGGCGGAGAGACTTGCTGGTGGAAGCTTGCTTGGGCTTTGACCGTTATCAAAAGTACCCGAGGCACCATGCTTTGTTGTGCTGTGCATATCGACAGGCATTGCTGGTTTTTCGCCTTTATGTGGGGGGTCCTTTTGTCTGAAATCTGCAATAGAGCGAGTGCTTCGTGGGGATTTGGAATTGGCACCGGTTAGCTCAGCCCATCCCCATTCAGCCATTGTTCCAACAATGCCATTTCCTCGTCTAGCTTTCTCCACTCGGTCTAATCCCTTCCAATCGAGGAATAGTAAACAAGAAGTGCGTAGAGGGACGATCCCATCATTGACGACGTTGGAATAGACCGTGCGATTCTGAAACTTGGATAAAATTTCATGAGCCGGACCACAGGGTAGGATCCTGAGTAAAGGCTTCGAACCAGCGTTTGCGTGTTGGTGCGGCTTCGTGGAGTCTCCTTTGCCGCCAATCATGGCTTCCCAGCCACTTCTTACTCGCGGCGCTGTCCAACTAAGCCCTAGGTCTTGACCTGTCCGGCCAACAAGGCCCAAGTCTAAGGCAAACCTGACGTACATCGGATTCTCATTGCTGAGACCCAGAAATGGGGTTGCCAGAGCGACAAAATTGACGGGTTTGATAGAATCAAAGAAGCCGGGATAGTGTTTTTGAATATACGCAATAGCATATGTTTGAATGAGACCGCCGAGCGAGTGTCCAATGAAACTGATGCTTGTTATTTTGTAAGCGTGGCTTTTGGCGTCAGGGAGCCCCGCGGGGTGGTCAGAGCATGCACCGTCTATAGAAGGTTCTCCCGCTGTACCCTTCCCAGTAGAACGGGATTTGGGGAAAGAATTTGTGCTGGCAGACCTGCCTGGTAGATGTGGCTGGTCAGGATAAGTCATCAAAAGAACATATTTTGCGAGGCGTTTCCCCAGGTACTGAATCCCGCGTTCAGTACGGACAGCATTTCCAGGAAACCCCCTAACTATGACCTGCTCGACGTCGTTGTCGTCCCCTTCTTCCTCCCCTTCCTCCGCCTCCTCCTCCTCCTCATTCTCCTGGTGGTCTTGTCGCTCCTGCTCCTGCTCCTCGTTATCTCCGGTGCGGCTCGCTGTCTTGGAGCTGGCATGGAAGCAAGGGCTAGCGCGTCTAATTGAAAGGTTCTATTAGCGAGTCGTGAATGGTGAAGATGTACAATCAAGCAGTTCTCTTACTCGTTCTTGTCACTCTTATTTCTATTCTTTGGGTGACGGTCTTTAGAGCCTCTCGTATTTCTTGCAACGGCATCGATGCTTTCTTTGAGATAGAGCATATCTGCACCAAGGTTGCTATGTAACCCATGCGTTAATATGACAAGATGGACTTTCTTTCTGCGTTGGTCGCACTGGGCCGAGCTAGCAGGGCTATCGAGACTCGACGACGACTCAGCATGCGATGTTGGAAAATCCGGGCTTGGCCTCTTCTCCTTTCCTGCTTTATGTTCGTCTGATAAGCCTGGGAAGGGGGGATAATTCCAGAGGCTAGCAGCGTCATCGACAAGTAAGGTAATAGAGCTTGAATAAACGCCCCTGGAAGCAAGAACCTGCTTGCCTTTCGATTCGGTTGACCAATGGTCGCGTAGTTGAGCTGCCCGACCTCCGTCCGTTGTTATCCCCCCTGCAGAGAGCTCTGTGGACTTTTTGTCGCGGCCCACTAAAAGTTCAAAGCCGACAGACGCGGTGTTTGAGAAAATCACCTGGGAGATTATCTCCACAACCCATGTCACGGACTCGGATGATTTGGATCCGGCTCGAGTATTTCCTGGGGTAGTGCTCTGCGAAACATTAATGACCGCATCCCAGTTCCCTCCTGCTTTGAGATAAGGTTCGAACTGTGGTGTTTCCTCGGTATCTCGCTGGGGGAATTTAACGTTGGGGTCAAACGTAGAGGGATAGCAAGACGTGTACAAGGTGTAGGGACCATGAAGATAAGCCGCTCGCAGGGGGATTGCAGACGTATTTTTTACTTTGACGTATAGTTTTTCCGGGACGGGGCGAATCTTTTCAGCTGATGGTGTATATGTGATGGTGTACCTATTTGGGGTAAGGTGAGTCCTGGAATCACGCTTCGATGAAAGGGGAGACAGGTACGTACCTAACAACCTCACCCACTTGGACGCTTCCAGCTTGATGGATCAAAAGCATTTCAGCTGCCTGCTCGACGTTTCTCCGAGTTGCACGCCAGCCTTGAACAGAATGGAATCTATATTGATTTGGGTTGTCAAATGGAGAAAGTCCCCGGTCTGGTATCTGAGACGCAGAATAAAGCTTTGAATTGTGGAGCATCGATTTGAATTGTGAAGCATTCCATGATAGAAGGAAAACGGGTGGTCATCAAGCCCACTGGGCCAGAGGTGCTTTACTTGAGCGAGGTCAACACTGGGACTGGGGCCGCGATTGATGCATTCGTGCTCAGGTCAGAACCATCGGGGTGGGTACGGTACTCAGCGGCGGCAGTCCGCCCGTACGTAGTCAGGTGGGTTACTAGGTATGTACGGTGCCCCTGACCCGAGTACCTACACCTACCTCTACACCGTAGAAACTACCTAACTCTTCTTCTACTGACAGATACGGTATACCACCCACAATCCATCTCAGTGTCTCTCCACCGATGTTCGAAACTGAAGTTCGAAAATTCCAAGGAATCCGTCAATCCAGAATAGCTATTTTGACTTTTCTACCCAATACCACTTACAGACTGTCTTCTCAATATGCCAGCTTTCCATAGAAGCCTAACGTAGAATCCAATTAGACGACAACTTATTTCAACACGGATGTGTCACAGCCTCATGTGGCCCCCGGGTGACAAAAGGCAGGGAGAGTCTGGACAAACCGCAGTTACATGAATCATAGCCAAATAGTAGACTCTCTTCACAAGTTTGGAGGTACTAATATGTTTAATGCGCATTTATCGTCTTTGCTCACCTCCACCCAGCCCTCATCCTCGACAGCAATGACTTTGCCATCAACGCATACCCGTCTCCATTTCTCATCCTGCTCGTCAAAATCAATTCTGAGCTTCGCAATCTCTGTGTAGCAAACATGGCCATCTTTTACATGCAGACCTCCGCGATAGGCATCGCTCATCAGTTGCATGGCATGCTCCGGGGGTAGTGGACCGAAATGAACCATCCGAAGGCAGCCGTCGAGCGGCTTTGATTCGGGGGAAATCAGAAAGGCCTCTTCAAGCCTTGAAACCAAAGTCACTAGCAAATACATGTGTTCCCGGGTTTGCATGATTTCGACACGCTCGCTGTCTGCTTGGCCGTTGCTCTTCGTGAAAGTAACCGTACCAGTGTACCTGTGGGTCTCGGCACCACTGGATGGGAAAAGAAGTTCATTTGCAGCCATCTTGAACCTATCGGCTCCAAATCTGCGATATTCCATCGTGTCACTATCAGCCACCAATGCTGCATGCATACCCCAACTGACAACCACGGCACCATGTATTCTTGGGCCCAGGCTGTCATCTGCTTGGTGATCCATAATAAGGGCCCGAGACCGACCCTCTTCAGTGACGTATCGTGCGCCAGGTGAAAATGTAGCACCGAAGACGGGTATGGGCTTGGGCATCCCTTGCAGCAGGGCCACTAACGCGGCAAGCGGCCGAGAACCGATTCCAATCGAGCTTGCCATTGCATTTCCCGTACCCGTTGGGATTAGGGCAAGTGTGGGAGGATGTGATAAAGGTTTAACAGCGGTGTGAAAGGTATTAACAATATCAGTCAAGCCACCATCTCCGGATAGAAGAACTATCGTCTGCGAGATTCCAGACTCGGCTTTCAAGATAAACGTTGACCTGCACAGCTCGACTATTGTGTTTTCGGATTCTGTTTCGTGGACTTCATAGTCGGATAATCCAAGATGCAACAAGAGAGGCTGTAAGATATGGTGAAAGATGTGTTTGGCCCTTCCTGTCCCCGAAAGGCTAGATATTATGATATGTATTTCTCTTGTCTCCGTGCCCCGAGTCTGAAGGTGACAAGGAACAGACTCGTACAGGTGAGATGATAGTAGCTCTGGTGGTAAGGAGCTGAACGAGACCGACTCTAGACGTTCGTACTCATCCTGGATGTCACCGCCCGCATCCTGATGCCCTGTTCGGAGGAACAATACGGTATACCCCTTTCCGATAGTGGCGCGCTTTGGTACAACACAAACTATATCATCAGTAGCGATCCTGATTTCCTTCTGTTGGGAATCCTGGCATTGGATATAGTTGTCGGTGGTATTGTAGTAGAAACAATCATTGTTTGGGATACATTCGACGGGCATTATTCCGAAGCCACATGTGAAAGCTTGCGCCCAATGAATTCTATTTTAGCTCTATTATTCTTGGGGTCGCGTGGGTGGTGACGATAAGGGAGGTTGTTGTTGGATCATGAAACGTGCTCTTGCGGTCGAGTTGGTGAGATGATAGAGCAGCATAAGCACGCGAAGCAGAATGCCTAGGTAATCCTGGTGGGGTACGGAGTACTACATAAGGTCCCGGGAATACGCGGATACCGTATGATACCTTAGCTACGTACGGAGTACCTTGAACGTAGAAAAGTCAGACGCTAGGTGGGTGATTAGTGACTTTGGCCACCCCCAGAGTATCTACGTCAAATTATCGATATAGATACATGTGCACGTAGCAGCAGGTCCTACTTGATTTTTAAAAGGTCCCTACGGCTGATATCTCTGGAGTCCCTTGCCCAATAGACCTAGGTCCATCTTAGCAACTAGACATATGCTTGTCACTCAGGTTTACCGCGATGAATGTCTGCGGTAGTTTGACCCTAAAGCAAAACTTAGGTTAAACCCTGGTTTAACCAGAATGCGACGGGTGGGCAGGATTTACTTACGTGTCGAATTTCGCCTTGAGTGTTTCAATGACCTCTTTCCAATCCTGATGAGCAGTTAAACTTCGTCTCGGCGCACAGCCAATTGCATGTCTAGAGTCAAGCTGAACATCCAGAGGATCAAAAGCATGACACCCGGGACTGATCGAAATACGAATCGAGTAGGAATTCGTTGATGATTCGCAGTCCCTGGCCTCATAAAGCTCAAAGCAGATCTGAGACAGGTAGTCCAACTCAGGGATAGCTGTTCTTGCTATTTTGGTTTGTATCCCACCCTCCAGAATGCAGTTGAGAAGAGTGTAAATGTGGGACTCCTTTGTGAAGTAAAAGAAAGACTTGGCATCTTGTGAGGCTTGGACCTCTTCAAGATCTCTCACAATCTCTTGAAGAAGAGGCAAAGACGTTAATAAGCCGATCTCTAGCTTTTCGGTGTCTGTGATGCCATATTCCTGGGGTGTGACATAGTCAAAAAGAACTTTTGCCAGCTTGTATAGTTCCCTCAGTTTGGAAAGTCTCCCGTCTAGCTTGGCCTTCGTGGAACTCGATCCTGGATATAACTTGAAATAGTGGTCGTAGGAATCATCCAGGGCCCTGAAATGGGGCATTGATTCAAATGCGTGCATTCTCTTTCCTAACCCAAACCGACGGGCGAGGGTGGAGCTTTCAGGGAGTTCTTCATTCCTTTCCTGACTTGCTCCTTCGCTGCCAGACTTATTATCCTCAGCGACATCACCTTCGTCACCGTCCGGTGGCATGAAGACCCATTCCAGGAAAGGCCGGTTATGAAGGGCGTCGAATTTCATACTATCATAGAGCTCAGAAAGTTTACTTGGATCGACCTTTTCTGTGTCACAAAACTCGGCGAATAGCTTCTCCCATCTTTCCTTGAATAAGGTTGGATCTTCACCAGTACACCACCGACCTTGGATCGAGTCCAGGGCGGGATTGCCTGAGTGTAATTCTGTCAAGGTAGGATCGTCAAAGTCGCCTGATTCCATGGCATGATGTTGCGGCTTTTCGAGTCTTTGGAAATTATGTCTCATGACGTCGCGATGGAACTTCATAAGTTCGACAACTGTAGCTAAAACAACCGACGGTTCAGGAATATTGTCTTTCGGCCAGGTAAACTGCGATGGTGCAGAACCCTCCCGTAAAAGCAATTTCAGCTTTTTCTTAACTTTGTCCATGTGGTCTTTAGCGGCGTTGGAGTCGTCCAAAAGATCCTTGCGGACTTGTATAAAATCTTCGGGGAGCTCTTTTTGGTCAAGAAAGGAACAAGCCCAGATTTGAGCTATAGCGCCTGTTTAGTTCACAGCCCACGGAGCAAGCAGGGATATCAAACTCACCACTAGTGCTCACCCTTCGCTCGGAGCTCGTGAATATGCGAACGTTGTTAAGGGCCTCTTTGTTCATCAACTTCAGGTCATCACGCATGTTGAGCCCTAGATCTTGAGACTGGTATCGCGCCGCATGTGTAGGCTCTCCTCCCCATTTGATTACGAGCTGAAGTTTATCCAGGACAAGGTCATTCTCAGCCGCAGAGAATCGTGAAAACGTTGCACCAGAGATAGAATCGCTTCGCGTTTGAGACCTGCTCGTATCCTGGGTCCCCGTATCAACTGGATGAGAGCACATGGCGCCATCCTCGGTGTTCTCGGTGGAAGCCATTTGGGTTGTTGATGAATCTTGTCCGCACGGCTTGTCAAATTCCTTCTTGCGAAACATCGGCTTAATCTGAACCTTTGTCCCAGGCCAGCCTCCCTTTTTCTGAAGGGATGTACGTAGTAGTCTTAGTTTATCCATATCTTCGAGGCCATTCTTCATCGCCACTCTAACAGCATCGGACACGCTAGCCAAGGCTGCCTCCCCTTTGATAACGACCTCCTCTTGGTGTCCTTTCAGTAGGTCGATGAAGGGTTGGCTGTGAAATGTGAATTTGAACTTTTGTTTAGGTGTGCGGTCTGCATGGCGAATGACTGCCACCATACCTTTCAGTTTCCAGGAGTGTTTGGAAGCTGGAGGTGGGGGTGGAGCCCCTTCGTTTAGGTTTATCGACATGACAGGTGAAGCGCTAGGCGGAGAAATATGGGCACTGGAAGCTGGAAGTTTCTCATGTGTGGATGAGGCATTATGGCAAGACACATGATCACGAGCCTCTGTAGAGGAAGAAGGGGCCAGTAAGCCAGAAGAATCCGACGGCTCGGAGGTTTGGTGGCCTGATGTGTTCCCATGAATCTTTGAGGTGCTGGGAGATTTGAGCAGAGTCCTTAAAGCGTGCCTGTGGGAGACAGAATATCTCCAGGGATGGCCAGTGTCCGGTGAGAATGATTCAGTCTGCTCCTGGTTCCCTTCACGCCTGTGCTTCTCGTTCAAAAAGGCGTCTTTCAAGATACTAGCGCATCTATCGTAATAGTCATTGTTGTCTTTGACAAAGCTCCAGCCGTTAACGTCAATAACATAGCTTCTCTCTCCCACTCGAAGCATGTCAAAGCCACATATTCTTTGACCAAACCCATTTGAGATTTTGGAAGCGATTGCGGCTTCTTCCTTGCTCAGCTGCGTGATATATCTCAATTCCTTGCCATGAGTGTTTCGACGAACAAGTCCATCTACCACAGGTGATTTCCGTGTTTCAGCGTGACAGAAATCTGGCCCCACTGTGTATGCTTTGACATCCTCTGAATTGTCCACCCTCAGGAACTGTTCATAGATGTAGCTTGTACCATCCTCATTCACGGACCGGGGAACAACAAGAGCTGGATCGTATTCAGAGCTTTTGTTCCCAATTTTTCGAAAGAGCCTTCGTCCACCACCGCCATACTGCTGGTCATTAGGAAAGTAGATATGGATATTATGGTCCTCCCCATTCACGGGTTTTTCAACAAATGGTTTTCTGAAAGTTTTACCATCAACTATAAGAGAATCACCATCATCTGACAAGGCGACGCTCTTTGTTTTCGAAGCACCTCCTCCAGTTCCATCTCCAGGGCCCTCGAGTTTAACCCCTGTCAGCTTATGTACGTGCTGGGCGAGATCTGAAGACTCCAGAGTTGGCCCACCATCTCGATTAACTTCTAATCTTTTGGGCGTTGGAACATTCATGTGGTCTAAAATCCTCAAGCAAAGACGTCTATCCCATAGAACCTTTTGCATGGGCAAGTCATTGACACAGAATGGTTTCCGTAGTCTTGCATAGGCAATAGCCTTGTCCAGCGGAAAGCCATCGGAAAAGAATGCAATAAGAAAGTCGCAAACAGGCCAATTCTCTACGGCCTCGTCGAGTATGACCTTGTCACCGAATACTATAACCTCGAACCCACCCTTTGACTGAAGGCGTGTAAGGATATTCTGGCTTGGCTTGCTTCGCGCTTTAACATCTAGGGCACAGACGCCTATTTTCCCAATGGTGGGAGGTGTATACTCTGTTTCACTGACGGAGCTGGTGGCGGTACTTCCACTTAATCGGCGGGGAGCCCGGCTGGAAGAACGAGTGGACGAATGGGTGCCTCGGCCTTGATTCTCAGGTGCGTCAGATCTAGGCATATTCGATGAATTGGTTTGCAGCCCATATGGATTCCCCTTGAGGGAAATGGGTGCTGCGGAATCATAAAGTAAACTGAATGGCGGTTTATCCGACCGATCCGGGGTGGGGTTCGAATAAGTAGCAGCGTTGCTTTCGACATGGCCTTCAGAGCAGCTGGCAGATGCGTCATGGCCATGGGGACGGTCACGGCCGGAATCCATGAGGTAGAGTAGTCGACGAACAATCAGTGGCTGATGTTTGGGATCTGCATTTGTCGCTAGCGAAGAGTGCGCTATTCTTCGGGCAGAGCTTGGTTGATAATTAAATTGATCGAACTTCTTCTTGGATGGTGGGGGGAAGGTAGGAGGTGCAGCTGTTCAGGAATGGCGGCGACGGTGGACCCTGGGTTCAACAGGGAGCAACGACCCGGAGCAGCAAAACTCAAAGCAGTACTCATGGATATATGAAAAGAGATAAGGACTACGATGACGGTCGCTCCATGTACAGTTTTATAGGGATCTTCATATGCACATGGAGATTGACAACTGTATTTCCTCTACGGAGTAAGATCAAGACCTTTGCACGTTATGTACTGTGCACAATCATGAATGGCTTTCCAGGGTATCTTATCATGCATGTCCACATTAGGTATTGCCGTACATAACCTAGTACGAGGTGTCTGTATTGTATGTACAACGGGGTATGGTATGAAAGTAACCTAATCTAACATACCTAAGTAGGTACTAGGTACACACCTAGTACAGTAAAGGCAGGTACATATGTACATACATACCATACCTACCTAGTATCTTAGTACCTGTAGGTAACCCTGAACCTGGTGGAAGTGATTGTGGGTGTATGAGTACTGTAATGGGCAACGGTAAGGCCGGTAGGTAGGGAGTAGGTAGGTACTGTAGGTACATACATACGTACCTAGGTACAGTACTCCGTACCCGTGGAGTAAAACGTATGTGGATGGGTGGGTCACGTAGGCGGTACGGACGCCGGATATTTTCATGCTCCGATCAAATGGCAGAAAAAAAGAAAAAGAAAAGAAAAAGAAAAAAGGACAAGAGAAGGCAAGACAGAGAGAGAGAGAGAGAGAGTCCCGACCAGAGCAAATGCAGTGAGCCGATCATTTCTGAAATCCGAGAACATTGATCAGCTCCCTACCCGGCCTTTCTTCTCTGGACCTGGATTTGGAAAGTTGTTACTCCAAGGGAAAAAAGGAAGAAGAAGTGGAAAGCATGTCATCCGATCACAATGGCGGCTTTGACCTACCTCTAGCAAAGAGGCAAAAGAGGTTAATTGGTGAAGAGGCCTCTCAGGCACATTCGCAAATGACCGGCTCCAAGATTTTTGCCCCATTTCGAGTATGTATCGTCGTTCAATCACACAAATTCCACCTATTCTAGATTCTACCTTGCTTGCCCTCGCGGATGCTAATTGGCCTTTTGCGTGTAAGACTCTAGGACTGGTCTCATCCACACCGATTCCGTTTACCTGTGTACGCTTAGGGAAAGCTACTTTCCAAATCACGACTTGTGTAGGGCATAGCCTACAGACTTATGACTTAAAGCGAGGACTTACTTTGGTCTTTGTGAGCAGACCCCAAACCCCGGAGAGCATCACAGCCACCTTCGCATGGCAGGACAAAGTCTTTGCAGCGTGGGGTAGTGCTCGACCGGGGTCTTCTCGGGGCATCTGGGTCTTCAAGCGTGGCAAGAAGGTTGCCTCCCTTCAAACGCCCGCCGAGTTCATTGAACCGATAGAGCGACTTCTTGTCTTCGGAACTTGGATTGTGGGTTGCAGTGCCAAGTGTATACAAGTGTGGAAAAATAACTCGTATGAACACTACACTACTCTCACCCCTCGACATGGCATAGACACTACCAGGGATGATGTTTATACAAGTGAAATGTGTAATATGCCAACATATCTCAACAAAATCTTCGTGGGCAGATACGATGGAAGCGTTGACGTTTGGAACGTGAAAACAGGAAAACTGGTTCATTCCTTGCTTCCGGAGTCAAGAGAATCGGGCGCCGTGTGTTCAATTCATCCAAGCCCCGTATTATCTTTAATCGCAGTGGCCTACAAAAATGGCGGGTTGTCCATCCTTCATGTCGACACAGGGCGAGTTGTCTTAGCATTGAGGAAAAGCTCCTCGAACCTACACCAAATTACCTCCATCACATTCCGGACGGACGGCCTGGGCGCTGGTGCAGACGGCCGGAATTCGGGTGTCATGGCGACAAGCTGTGTGAACAGTGGTGATGTTACATTGTGGGACTTGAACAACGGTGGCAAGGTTACGGGTATCCTTCGCCGAGCTCATGCAATGTCCCGGGATGAAACAGGGGCCGGGGTCAATCACCTTGAGTTTTTGGAGGGTCAGCCGGTGCTTGTCTCGTCCGGGAAAGACAATGCGCTTAGAACTTGGATCTTCGACGAGAGCCCATTCTCTCCGATACCCAGGCCTCTGCATTCGAGGCGTGGGCACTCCGCGGCAATCACTACGCTTGGGTTCTTACCTCCAGTCTCTGAAGATTCCGAATTTGGTGGGAAATGGCTGTTGAGCGCCAGCAAAGACCGCAGTCTTTGGGGATTCAGCGTCCGGAAAGATAGCCAGAATACCGAATTGTCACAAGGACCTATCGAACGCAAGGCAAAGACTCTTGCGGCTCCAATCAATCTACCCGCAGGTAATGAAACACATGATAGCCTCAAGGCCCCAGAGATAACCTGCATCGCTTGCTCACTTAACCGCGATGGGGGAATTGGAGTTACGACTTCGGGTTCAACATGGGCAAATCCCAAACTCACGAATACATCCGAATCGAATAAAACAGGTTGGGAAAGTATAGTGACCGGGCATCGCGGGGACAGATATGCTCGGACGTGGTTCTGGGGCAAGAAAAGGGCTGGTCGTTGGGCGTTCGAGACTAGCGATGGAACCGATGTAAAGGTGAGCGCCCTGTTCCCGGAGGAAGTAACGAAAATTCCTGGTTCTGATTGGATCACATACAGAGTGTCGCGCTTTCTCAATGTGGAACATTTGCTTTGATTGGTTCTGCAGGAGGCTCGGTTGATATGTTCAACATGCAATCAGGTGCCCATCGACAAAGCTTTCCTTGTCGTGGGATGATGAAGAAGAACAACATTGCCGACAGCCATCCTAGACATACGAAAACAGTCACCGGCTTGTGGATAGATGGGCTGAACCAAACCGTTATCACTTGCGGTCTTGATGGGAAAGTTAAGGTATGCCCAAACGAGTCGTATGGATTTTGTTATCGAATTCTAATCAACCCTCCTTTCAGTTTTGGGATTTCATCTCTGGCTCATTAGTGGATGAGTTGAATTGGCACCCGATGGCATCTGTCACTGGACTTCGATACAGCAGCGCCGGTGAATTGCTTGCATTCAGCTGTGACGATCTTTCGATTCGCGTTGTGGACATTGAAACAAGGAAAGTAGTGCGCGAGTTTTGGGGTTGTGTAGGTCAAATCAATGACTTCACATTCTCTGCCGACGGGCGATGGATCATTGCTGCATCCATGGACTCCGTCATTCGAGTATGGGACATGCCGACCGGACACCTCATTGATCTCTTTCGCTTACCGAATACTTGTACGTCGTTGTCTATGTCGCCAACAGGGGAGTTCCTGGCTACGTCGCATGCCAATAGCGTTGGAATAAACCTATGGTCCAACAGAAACAACTTCGTGCCGGTGTCGACTCGAAACCTGGATGAGAACGACGTGGCCGATATGGCCATTCCTACGGCATCAGGGGAGCAGGGCACTGACGCTATCGAAGCTGCCTTCCTGGACGCACCTGAACAAGTTGAGTCTGCGGGCCCTATACTATCCAACGGGCAGCTCAGTCGAGATATGATGACTCTCAGTGTTGTCCCAAGGAATAGGTGGCAGGCCCTCGTTAAATTGGATTTAATTCGGGTAAGTAAATGAAGCGTTCCCCCTTGTCTCCCCCGATCTGGTTCTCTAACTCGTCAATAGGAACGTAATAAGCCCCTAAGCCCGCCGAAAGTACCGGAAAAGGCACCCTTCTTTCTTCCAGCAGTGTCTAAAAGCGCTTACGATGAGGATGTGGATTCTTCACTACTAGCGGGGAGCACTGCTGCTGAGCGCTCACGCATTGCCAGATTGCAACGTTCTGACAGTGAAAACGCAGGCTCTCAGTTATCGTCACTTCTTGAAAGTGGACGGGTATCTGGAAATTTTGAACCTTTCGTGGAACATTTGAAGTCTCTATCTCCCGCAAAGGCAGATCTCGAAATCAGATCGCTCAATACACGAGTCCTGAACAGACGCTCGGAATTAGCGGATTTTATCTGCGCACTCTCTGGCCGTCTTTCGTTAAAGAAGGACTTTGAAGTTGTTAACGCTTGGATGGCAGTAATTCTCAAGATACACGCCGATGTCATTGCGGAATGCTCCGCATCTGAATCGGTCGAATTTGGGAGTAATGTATTAAGGGACGCCTTGGTCGCATGGACTAAAGTACAACAGCAAGAAGCACAACGTTTAGCTGGGAGGGTAGGATATTGTCGAGGTGTCGTCGGGTTCTTGAGATCTTCTCGTTGACGATGCGCAAAAGTTGCCCGTATTGCAAATAACAAGTTCAGTGCCTGCTACCTGTGTTCTTTCTTTTGGGTTTTCGTCTTGCTTTTGTACGATAGCAATAACATGCATGATGAGATCTGTATACTATCAATTCATTCGCAGTCAAGGAGGTCATATATATTACGAGGTGTCATCTGACAAGCCTTATGATTCTCGGTCGGGCCTGCTGAAAACGATGTCAAGGACGGCATAGTTTGAGAACAAGCCGGGTCTCTAACAAGTTGGAAAAATCTCTCAACTAGATCACCGATGGTCTCTGTGGATAGGTTGCATCTTATGGTCTGACTTGCGGGACGCATCATAATATGAAGAGCCGGAAGGCTAGCAAGCACGTTTCGCAATTGCTGGGCAGCTTCATTGTCAACGGCTGTGGTTTGGAGCAACTGGGATAATATTCTCAAAGAGTAAAGCCCGGCCAGTATTTGCGCATCAAGATGTATGTCGGCCCATTCCAATCGTTCGCCCATATAACCAAGACTTAAGAATCGGCTTAGTTGCTCCGGCTCGGGAAACATCTTACCCCCCTCGTTGTCGTGTATTTCGTGGAGAACAAACATTATCCAGTATACCGG